ATGCTTCTCTCCTTTCATTATGTTTACCTATGTACAAAATATCATCCACATAGATCAATACAAACTCTAGTGAATCATCCTCTTTTTTGACAAAGAAACAATTATCAGCAGTAGTGGCATTGAAATTCATAGTTTTGAGTACTTTTACTAAACAATCATACCATTGTTTACCAGATTGTTTCAACCCGTATAAACTTTTATTTAATAACCAAGTTTCATTTTTGTTTGTGTATTGACTGTGAGGTGCCCTCACATATATTTCTTTATCTAATTTTGCATGTAAATATGCAGTCTGTATGTCGTATTGGAATACATCGAGGTTGAGTGCTGATGCTATAACCAGAGCTGTTTTGACACTCTCTGTTCTTACTGTGGGGGAGTATGTATCTGTATAATCCTCGGGATATTTCTGTGCATAACCTTGTGCAACTAATCTAGCTTTGTATAGAGTATTGCCTCCCTCTAAATTTTTAATTTTATATATCCACCTAGTGCCAATGATGGTTTTGTCCTTTGGTGCAATCGTAGGTGTGAATACATTTAGCTCTCGTAAACTATCCATCTCTTTATTCATGGCTGATTCCCATTTTTTCTTTTCTTCAGAGGGAAGTTTTAACACTTCCTCATATGTGTTAGGTGTTGGTGATTCTCTATCCATATGCATTACATAATCTTTGTATTTGTTTGGCACTTGGTTTCTGCTACTTCTGATTGCTCTTTCTGGTTTAGTATCATTGTCATGCATATACCTTGCTTCCTTTTTTGTTAATGAATCAGTTCTTATTTTATATTGACTATTTGTCCATGTTTTGACTTTATTTTTATGCGTGTCGTTATTATGTTCTTCTCTATTCTCTTTTTCTTGGAGTTTAGTGTCTGAGTTGGTGTTTGGGAATATTTCGTTAAGATGTATTCTAGACCAGTTGGCCTGTTCATGGAACACAGCTGTTCTGGAAACTATAAATTTGTTATTACTATCGATAAATCTGTATCCTTTTGTACCTGTCTCGTATCCCATAAATCTAAGTCTTCTGGATACGTTTTCACCTTTGCGCCTCAATTGTTTAGGTATGTGTACGTCTGCAGTGACTCCAAATATGTGCATGTGTGCTAGTTTTGGTTTTCTGTTATACATTGCTTCATATGGTGTCTTATTTATAATACTGGACCAGGTTCTGTTTTGTGTGTAATTAGAGTATTGTAGGGCTTCTGACCAGAATTGTTTACCTAAGCCAGCATCCTCTAATGTGCATCTAATCATGGTTTGTAATGTTGAGTTCTTTCTCTCTGCCACTCCGTTCTGGAATGCAGAAAATGGGCTAGATGTGTAATGTAACATTCCTTTGTCTTTTAGCCATTGGGAGAATTCCTTAGACATGAATTCACATCCCCTATCCGTCATGATTTGTTTTATTTTAATATTGTGTTGTGTTTCTATACGTTTGTAAAACTCCTTAAATTTCTGAAAGGTTTCATCTTTATGTTTTAATGTGTAAACAAATCCATAACGACTATAATCATCCACAATGGTTAGAAAATAACGTTTTTTATAAGTAATTGATGGTGTTAATGGACCAACTAGATCCATGTGTACCAAATCAAAAATTTTGTTAGTTGATCTTGTTGACTTCCTAGGTCTGGGAGTAGTTTTGAGTTTTGTAGATTTACATACTGAGCATTCCAAATAGTTTTCACAATTTTTTATTTTAACACCTTCTGCATGTTCAGTCATCTTTTGCACCACAGGAAAACTGGCATGTCCTAGTTTCCTATGTAAGACATGAGCACACTCATCGTGAATTGGTTTACCTATTTTAGGTTTTTTTTTTTATTGTGTGTATTTTTATGGTTATGAGTTACTTCATGTTCCTCATTGTCACTGTTACTATTGTCTTCATTATCTATTTCATTGTCATCTTCCATATTTGAATCAATGTTGTTTAACCATTTCTCCTTTGTCATTAAATAAGGTAGACCTCCTTTGATTATTACTGTGCCTATGTTTGTTTTGTTTTTCTCTAATGTTGCCTTTCCTTTTGAGAACACAATGTTAATGTCAGAATCTCTGCTTAGTTTTATCGCACTAAGTATGTTATGAGGTATCTCAGGTATTAATAATACCCCCTCTACTTTTCCTAGACCTGGTAAGATTACATTCCCTCTACCTATTACTTGAACCTTTTCTTGATTAGCTACTTTGATTACAAATTTATCTTCTACAAAAGAAGATAATATATTTTTATTATTTGTAGTGTGATTGGTTGCTCCAGAATCAATAAGCCAATTGTTGTTCTCTGGTTGTTGTATGTTAATGTTGTCATGTTTGTCTAGTCCATTCAGTGAACCAGACTTTCTATCCTTTGAATTGTCTCTGCCCCCTCTACGTTCTGTATAGTTGGGTGGACTTCTATACCTATGTCTATCAATGGAAGATTGTCTGTTGTTGTACTTGTTTCTATATTCTGACCTGTGTCTTTCTCTTAGAATTTTAGGACAATCCCTCCTATTATGTTCTCTGGACCCACAATCGTGGCATCTAAATGGTTCATAATATCTTTCTTGAAATGCTACCTTTTTATATTGTTTGTGTTCTATGTGGTTGTTATAACGACTCCTCCTTGAATTGTCTTCAGCTATTAACTTGTTAGATAGATTTTCTATGGATAAGTATCCTAGATTGATTGTGTCTAAATGTGACATATAATTATCCCATGATGGGTCAAGTGAGTTGATGATAACACTTTTCATCGTTTGATCTGAAATTACCTCCCCCCCTTAAGTGCAGTTCTGCTCTAATTTTGTTTAAAGATATTAAATGTTCACTTATGGAAACTCCTGGCTTTATCCTAGAAGAGAAGAAATCTTTAGACATTCTTGTGGTAGTGGCTACACTTTCACTGTGAAATAAATTAAACATGCATTGAATAATTTCTGAGACAGTCAGATTTTGCTTAATACTGTGATACATGGCTGGGGATACACTGGAAATCAATAAGAAGAATGCTCTATGGTGTAGGCAATCTAACTTTAGAGTCCAAGGTCTTTTTGGGGGGTTAGTAATAAAGAAGAGAAATTTTCTTTCATAAAGACAACCTGGAGCTGCTGATACCATTCTTGCAAATTAATGCCATCTATTCTCAGCTTTGGAAAGTCATTGGGTAAATTCCCAACATTGTTGGGTCCATTACTTACAACCGGAGGTAGTCCGTGGTCTTGCAAATGACGAAAGTTGCAAAACGGCGTGGGGATGCTTGCGACGAGTTTGCATGATTCTCTCCGCATCTCATGTCTCCCGAAGTTGTCTGCGTAGTCTTGCGCATGCGCGTTGCTCATTTCGTTTCTGGAGTCATCGTGAGAGGTTCTCGCTGCTGCAGCTCTCTCGCTCTGTTCTTCTCCCGATGAATCAGTCTCCGGCTCGATCTTTGGAGTCCTGGTGATAGCGGGCGCTCGTTTTCTTTCGTTGAAGGTGCTGGTCCTTGGATTAGTCTGCGGCGTGGGGCGGTATCTGCAGGGCTCTCTGGGCTCAGGCGTCGGTGCTCTCGCCATCTGGATAGGAGCGGGTAGATTTTGAGGCGTTGGCTCGCTCGCTTGTTTTTTTGTTGATCTTTTAGTGATCTTCAGTTTCGGTCCAAATGCTGCAAAAAGCGTTTTCATTGTTGATTTTACTTGCATGTCTATTGAATCTTCTTCGTTCTCTGTGTCTGATTCTTCTGAGGTATATATTTTTTTCTCTTTCATTTTTGCATCGGGTAAGGCTTTTCGCGCCAGATATTTTGAATCCTGCTTTCCGATTGGCTCTGCTTCGCTCATCTTAGGGGTCTGTTGAAACCAAGATGGCTGCCATTCGAAAATTTGCGCGGGATTGTTGGTTTTCTTCTTCGTTGCGTTTTCATCTGCAATCATATTACTCACTATTTTTGAGTCTTTTGATTTTTCAGTAGCGATGTGCTTCTCTTTCGCTGCTCCGTTGTTTTTTAGTATATCTTGGAGATTCGCGACGAGACTTTCATCGCTCTTTTGGCTTTTTAAAAGTTTCAGTATCTCTGACCTGAGTTCATTGTTTTCTATTTCGTTTTCTTCTTGGTCATCATCTTCATTTATTATTTCTTCGTCGTCTGTGGTGTATTCTTCGGATTCTCTTGAAATTGCATTCGTGGACTCATCGAATATTTCTTGATCCGCTTCCATTTCTTTGCTGTATGCCCTGGTGTTGGGCCTATCTCTTTTGGACATGTTTGAGTTTTTATTGAGTCAATTCAACCATCCTCTGCTACCAGATTGTGACGATATTTTCAGGATCAGACTCAATAAATAAGTTGAGAGTTATAAATTCAAATAAATCACTATTTATTTACATAAGGCATTCTATATTCACTGAATATTCACAGATAGAAGCACAAAATGGACGTATGCGGCTCCTTATATATACAATGGGTGGAGCTAGATATGGGAGTGGTGAAATATGAATACATTAAGAGGTGAAGAATAAGTTAACCCCTGATACCCTGTTTATGTACTATTTACATAATGGAGAATAAGGCATTTACTTGTGACAGAGCCATTGTACTCAAAGAATCTGATATTGTAGGTTTGGTGCCCAGGTATCTCTGGGACCACCTGGGATAAGTAGAATGTCTCCATGCAGTCTGAACATCCCAGGCAGGGAGGTTGGAAGTTTCCCCTGTGGAGTTCAGTGGGACCTAAGGGCCAGTGCTTTTCTATTATGGTGTCAACCTCTGGACACCTCTCATCCAGGTATATTTGGTGGCCTATTTCCTGAGGGTTAGGCAGTAATGAAGGCCAAATTGCTTCACAGAACTTTTATTTATTTATGTTGCTAGAGGAAGGACACAAAGCAAGATTTTACACTATTGAGGATTTTAATTGCTGTAATTATAATACTGATGTTTTGCCTGATTTTAATCTATATTGTAAAACTTTTGGAAGAGTTGTAGAAGTATGGTGATCTATTAATTAATGTTTCCCCTCTTCCCATTTAGATTAAGACAATACAACACAGGACAACAAAGCGCCTGTAAATTTACCCACATGGAAAAGGAATTCTCTGCAGGGACATACAAAGGTGAGAAAGAGCTCTACCTGTTCTTGCAACGTGCACTGAATAAATATCATTAGAAATGTGCAAAACAGACTTGCTGGACTCTGCAAAGATCAGAGTCTTTTCCCAAGAGTGTTTCAGAGATTGCTTCATTCATTTCTGGCAGCGTGTTGACTGGAGCAGCAATTTGATTGTGGTCCTCCAGATACAGTCAGGCGTATCTTACTCATTTCAAACACATGAAAGTGTTTGAGGATGTTTCTGAGCAAAGTGGAAAAATTACCTAATAGCCTTTGGCAATTAATTCTACTGTGGGTTTAATAATCATTTCCTGGAGTCTTGTATAGTGGTTTATGTTTGGTTGCTGAGTTTATTACGGCAAATATTGAAAAATATATCTTTTTTTGGATTAGTGATATTTAAAATATAGGAAACAGCAATGCCTGAAAATTAACAACAGAAAAGAATCCTGAAGAACTTTTTAGTTAAATTCTGTTTTATTCATATTTGCTCTCTGTATTTACAATAATTATGTACTGATGAAACTGTTTCTAAGATATTACTTCTAGCCATATATCATTTGGGACAGAAATATTAAATATGGATGTTTAGAAGATATATTTTCATATACTTTCAAATTTTGTATATGTGTGGCTTTACTCTCAGATAATTTTTATTTTTATTTTCTGTTCTGTACTATGTTTTTTACATTTAGATTTTATAGTATTTATTTAAATAATTTATATGGCAGCCCAACTCACAAAGTTGTGCCTCCAGTAGCATGCAACAATAAAAACAGAATAAAACAAAATCAACTAGAATAACAAGAACAATATAGCAATAATACCACACATTCCATGCCAACATCTATTATACCTGACAGATCAAGCTTTTCTAATAACTTAGCCCCAAAATCTGAAGGGACAGCCAGGTCTTAAAGTCTTCCCAAAGTCTAAGAGGGTTGTGGCTAGTCAAGTCAAATTTATTGAGTATTGTTTTCTTAAGTAAACATTAAGTATTAAAAAAATGTAAAACATTTGCAACATACCCTGAAACTGTGCCTGTAATACTTTACTAGAAGCACATATGCTTCACTTAAAGTAGGGTCTCTATTAGTTAATGGTAGAAAACAAGTGTAGTTATTTTTAAGGAGATAATGCATAATTAATTCATGTCACTTATAAATATTACACATTTAGTCATTTTCCTATTCATTTTTTTAGAAAACTATTTTTTGTCTGGGTGTTCTAGGTTGCCTAATTCCCTTCTGTATAATGCTATGACACTATTTTATCTGGATTGAATTTATTGGATGGGTTTCCAAGAGTCCTATTTTGTAACATCCCAGCTTTATGAAAGATGAGTTTGGTTAAAATGTTTTCCCTGCTAGGTTATTTTGTAAAATCCTGACTCAATATAGGAGAAGGAATGGTAGAGCCTGGGGGCGGAGTCAAAAGAGGAATCAGCCTAGACGTCTCTACATAGCCACAAACAGACTCCTTTTGAACTAGTTAAGTAGATTCTTGTGCATACACATGATTAATAATAAATCACTTTAATTGGAACTTCATGTATGATCCTGATCTTTTACTCTTAACACTCTAACCGTGACATGTTTATTGTTAAAAAGTTTTCCCAGCCTTTTTTTAAAAAACAAAAACTAATCTGTGAATTGTTTCCAACTTGAAAAATACCATCGCTATTGCAAAATGTATTTCTTGTTCCTTGCACAATCTGAAAACGCCTTCCTTTATTTCAAGGCAAAACCCTATGAACAATTTCAGAGCACATACTTCCTAATTTTTTTAAAAAATTTCCTGGAATATAGCTCGTAGTACATATTCTGTAGTAGGTAAATTGCCAAGTGAAAGTTCTTTCTTTGTTGGGGGGGGGGGGAAGACTAGAGATGAACAATTGCACTAGCAGAATTCTTTTAAATATCTTTATATTTACTTGCTGAGAAGCTAGTAATTAATTAATAATGGCAGGGGTCTCCAAACATGGCCACTTTATGGCCTTATGAACATCAACTGCAGAATTCTGGGGATTGAAGTCCACAAGGCTTAAATTTGCCAAGTTGGAGACCCCTGCCTTAAGGTATTGCTCATTTCTCACTCCGTTTTTACATAGACTTTTAGAACATGTTTACTCCTAAGATTGCTTAATAAAGCATAGTTGGTAAGTTTTCATGACAGGTAGCGTATAATTAATTGCAGTACAATTTAACATGAAGGCCTAATCCACACAACATATTAAGTCACCAGTCATCTGCTGAATCATAAAGTTGGAAGGAATCACTCAGAACTGTATTTCAATAGTGCCATAGATATGCCCAAATGCAATTCCCACTTCCTTAGTGATTATCTGATGAAATGCATTACCTTTTTGATGCATCATATAAATTCACCAGGCTGAGGAATGTATTTCCTTTTAACACTCATCCCCATGATTCAGAACTCGTCTGAGGAACAGAAAAAATTGTGTTCAGCTAGGTTTCCCTATTGTAAAAAAATTTTGCTCATGTTTTACTGGTATAGCAAAAAATCTGTAGACTTGTTTCTGTTTGTTTAGGTGGTAACTTAAGTGCATGGAACTAGTCTTGTAGGAATCCAAATAGTGATCCAACCAAAACCTCATTCACTTCTGTTTCAAAAAAAGATTTGGCAACAATAATTCATGCTTAGAGTTACAAAAATCTTGTAATTCGTTTTGTTAGGGGCAATCTTTGAAGGCAGTTTGGAAATTACAGCTGTGCACTGGTGGGTGCTGATATAGAGTAATCTTGAGGGAGCTGTACTGGATAAGTTAGGATTCTGGGTCCAATTCAAGGTGTCAGTTATTGCTTGCAAATCCCTTTATGGCTTGAGTCTTTGTTACCTTCAGGACCATCTGGTTAGTATAGTTCCTTTGTCCATTCATGCAAGCCAAGAGAGCAGGGTGAGAATCTCCCTCCCATTAGTTGAGCTGGGGGGAATCAGGAAGGAGGCCTTTATGGTGACAGCTTATTTACTGTACAGGAATCTCCCTCCCCCTCTTCCCCCAAGCTGAAAATGTCTCTCTTTTCTTGTCCTTTTGGAAAGCACTTAAGACTACATCTCCAACAAGCATTTAAAGTAGACAGTAAAACCATTTGGATGCAGGTGACCCAGGAACTAATTAGTGAAGGGGGATGTGTGTCACATGATGGGCTTCATTTTGTTTTATTTTAATGTTAATGTTTGGTGGCACTTTGCATATTTTTAGTATACTGTGATCTACCTAGACCCCCCAGGAGGAAAAGACATATCAATTATTAGAACTTTTAAAAAGGCAGCTAATGAGCTGCACATGGTTCTGTGCATTCAGGCCCAGTTCAGTGTTTCAAATACATTTTAAAAGATTGTAATGATTTAATTCATAGGAGTGGAAAGGGTCATTGGGTTCAAGTCTCTGCTCTATAGAAGAATTCGAATTAAAATATCCCTAATAGATGGCAACTCTATTCCTATTTGAACATTTCAAGTAAAAAGAAGGCCATTTCCTTTTGGCTGTATTATGAAAATATTCTTATGATTTTTTTTTGATATCATTCACCTAGAAGCTGCCTTTCCGCAACTTAAATCTATTATTTTATATCTTGTCTTCCTGAATGATAGGAAACAGCTCTCAAATGATTAATTCCATATTCAGCTAGGCTGGCAGATGCAGCAATGGATGGTACTTTATACATTCAATGATTGTAAACAAGACATTATCTCCTCCATGGGCTGTATTAGTAAAGAGGCTTTGCACTTCCCAGTGAGTCTATGATATATGTTTTGGGATCTGACATGAAATTTTGAGTTCTCCTTCATTAGAGTGGTCATCAAATTTATCAGAGATGCTGTAGTAGATCCTTTAAGGTCCTTTTCAATTTTGTGATTGCACTGAATTTGTTACTGGAGAAAAATGTTCAGAATTCCTTACTCTGCAAGTAAAACAAAATATTTACTTCTAGTTAAAGTAAACCAGACTATACACTGAAAGCTCTAATAAGAAAAGTAAATCTTAAATATTTTGCCTATACAATGCAGAAGTAAGACTCTCTGGAGAAGCCCCATAAAATTTGAAAGCAATCATAAAAGAGGCCAAGAGCAGACAAGATAGTTACTATCACTGATGACACAGGCATAAGTTTTAAGAACTCAAAAAAGCAATTACTGACAGACAATCCCCAGGAGATCAACTTCTTTGAGATCAAAAAAGGTGGAAGCAATGGAACAGCAATAACGCATCTGTCTTGGGGCTGCACTTTCTGAAATGACTTTGCATAATTAAAATGTACAACTTATAATTTACCAAGTGGATGAGTCTGACAACGATGTTTGGAAGACTCATGGAGTGGTAAACACCATTCTACCTGCTGTTTAGGCTATTAAATACCAGACAAGCCATGATATTTTGGTGTCTGACCATGTTTGAGTATGCAAGTGACAACTGCAGTTCCTTCGTAAAGACGGAAAGACTTATTTTCTTTTATATCCAATTTCTGGCATTCTTAACAATGCTTAAGGTACTGAAATTAAATCCATCAGTATAAAGATATGTAACTTTGCTTTGGATGGCAGTCTGATACATAAAATTATCCATCACTGGTTGGCCAAGTGAATGAGGGCAGAGGATGCTTTGGTTGGAAGCACAAAGTTATGTAATTCTTCTTGCATTACTGATTTTCACCTGAAAATGTTCCCCAGATTATTTTAAAAGCTCCCAGCCCACTCAGGCTTCAAAACAGGAAATGACCTTATCAAGAGAAGGCAAACAAACCTGTATTTTGTAGGGTACAATCCGTACCGAGTTTAGAACTCCCTTTGTCTTGTCCTCAGGCTCTGATTTGAATTATACCATTATTGAGATAATATGCAAAGTCTAGCTCTTGAAGTGCACTTTTAGGTAGAACCTTGTTTACTTGTCTCAGGCATCTGCCCAGCTGCTGCATGAAAATGATACTGGTACATACTTGCTCTTGAGAAGAATGGCACTATTTGACCAAGACCTAAGAGAAT